TGCTGGGGTAATAATAGTTGTAAAGCGCATAGAGCAAGCTCTTGAGCATGGATATGCGCTATATAAATGCAATTATTATTATTTTATAATTATTATTATTATTATTATTATTATTATCACGTGATGAGTGTTGTTATTGGATCACGTGATGAGTGTTGTTATTGGATCACGTGATGAGTGTTGTTATTGGATCACGTGATGAGTGTTGTTATTGGATCAAGTGTCTGGTGGGTATTTTTTATTTCACCATTTTTGTCTAACTGAATTGTAAAAATATACTGGCAGCTCAATTCATCAAAGTGACAGATAGCTATAGCTCCTCTCTGACATTTTTCCCCGTGGCAGCAATCAGGTAAATCCCCTCGGCCTACTGTGTCGTGCTATAGTTGCCACGTTGATGAATTGAGCTGCCTGGTCTTGACGGATCGGGTGGTTTTGTTATGTCAGTGTTGGTTGATTCTGTGGTGAGTTTTTTTGTTTTTTTTCAATTCTGCAAGAATGACAAGGCAGTTTATGACCTTTCTCATGACAAACAGTAGATTTCTGTGGGGCCACTAGATTTTCTTCGGTTTCGTCCAGGTTCAGGTTTCAAGAAGCTGCTCAGATAGAAGAAAAAATGTTGGGTATTTTCATTTGTTTAGGATGAACACTGTTTTTGTATGAAGCGTGTTCAGTTTTAGCTGACTCCTTCCTATCATCTAGCATACCCGCGGTGACCTTTTCACTATGTAGGAATGTTTGTGAAGTTTGTTGTTTCACAGTGCTAGTGGGGGGTGGGTGCTCTGCTGTGGTTTGCTCCTTCTTTCCTATCAAACATCTTATGTCCTTATCTCTCCTTCTTTCCTATCAAACATCTTATGTCCTTATCTCTCCTTCTTTCCTATCAAACATCTTATGTCCTTATCTCTCCTTCTTTCCTATCAAACATCTTATGTCCTTATCTCTCCTTCTTTCCTATCAAACATCTTATGTCCTTATCTCTCCTTCTTTCCTATCAAACATCTTATGTCCTTATCTCTCCTTCTTTCCTATCAAACATCTTATGTCCTTATCTCTCCTTCTTTCCTATCAAACATCTTATGTCCTTATCTCTCCTTCTTTCCTATCAAACATCTTATGTCCTTATCTCTCCTTCTTTCCTATCAAACATCTTATGTCCTTATCTCTCCTTCTTTCCTATCAAACATCTTATGTCCTTATCTCTCCTTCTTTCCTATCAAACATCTTATGTCCTTATCTCTCCTTCTTTCCTATCAAACATCTTATGTCCTTATCTCTCCTTCTTTCCTATCAAACATCTTATGTCCTTATCTCTTCTCATCCTTTTTTTTGTATGTTACTTTCTAGTAACAGCTAATCTTTGGCACTTGTGTGACCTAATTATGTTACAAGTGTCGTAAAATTTGCACTAAAATTGAAGTTGTAGCGTGTCGTGTTTCGTCCTCCGTTTCCTCAGACTGATCTACAGAAACGGCAACGGCGTGTACAGCAACTCCTCGGACAAATGCTCGGACGTGGAGCGGGAGGACATCCGCGTGGATCTAGAGGGTCACCTGAAGAATCACATCGAGGACGCGTCCCGCTGGAAGAACGTACGTCGCTGTCTGGGCAATAGCTACGGGGACAACGAGCGCACCACGTACGTGGATGAGATCTGTGGGTGAGTCTGTGTTTTCTTTACTTGATGAGATTTGTGGGTGAGCCTGTGTTTGATGAGATCTGTGGGTGAGTCTGTGTTGGATGAGATCTGTGGGTGAGTCTGTGTTGGATGAGATCTGTGGGTGAGTCTGTGTTGGATGAGATCTGTGGGTGAGTCTGTGTTTGATGAGATCTGTGGGGGAGTCTGTGTTTGATGAGATCTGTGGGTGAGTCTGTGTTTGATGAGATCTGTGGGGGAGTCTGTGTTTGATGAGATCTGTGGGTGAGTCTGTGTTTTATGAGATCTGTGGGTGAGTCTGTGTTTGATGAGATCTGTGGGTGAGTCTGTGTTTGATGAGATCTGTGGGGGAGTCTGTGTTTGATGAGATCTGTGGGTGAGTCTGTGTTTCTTTTCTTTCTCTCCTTCGCATCACACTAGAAGTCTGGCGTCCGTCATACGTATATTACTCGGCCGTCCTGCTCAGTTCCTCTGTTGGCCCGTACAGCTTCTCCTCTAGTTTGCTGAGGTTGGCCACGTTTTCTGTCTCTGGGCTCTGTGTGTCCTTTCTGAAGGATGTGTTCCAAGGTTTGGTCAGCCTCTCCACACTAACGTTTTGTTCAGTGTATTTGTTGAAAGCATCTGTGCATGATGTGTTGTTTGAGTCGTGTGTGGTGTGTTCTTGACTTACTCCTAAGATAATCACTTTGTTTATCTTTGTAAATTATGTGTTGATTAAGTTTTGTGTGGTGTGTTCTTAGTCTTAGGATTAAGATAATCACTTGATTATCTTTGTAAATGATGTGTTGTTTGAGATGTGTGTGGTGTGTTCTTGGTGTGAAGATTAAGATACTCACTTGTTCATGACATGGCAGCTCACGGTTGGTATTGTGGGTAAGCGATGCACGTCGTTTGTTTTCTGAAAATGATCTCTGTTTTCCTCCCGAAGGCTGGCGCGGAAGCAGACAAATTTGTGCAAAAGTTTCAACACGCACCGCACGGTGGAGACATTCTTCAATCAGCAGATCCAACACCTCAAGTGTCACTGTCAGAACCTGGACGCCTCAGATGGTGAGCACACATGTTCTCTCGCTTCCGCACTGGTGTGGCATCAGTTGTTGGTTGTTTTTTTCCCTCCTGTATTTCTGTTTGTGCATTGAAAGAAACATTTCTAAACTTTTCTTTCTTTTTTGCTGTGTTGGAACAGAGGTATGTGCTTGATTTGGTAAAAATATTTGTCTGTTTGTTATTTTTTGGGCTGCATTGATTGTGTTATGGGTCAGAATTCGTTTTGATGTTGAATATGTGCATATCAAAACCTCTGATGTGTACAATGGTCGTCAAGTAAGAAGCGGGTCAGGGAGAGAAACAAAGCAAGTTGGTACGACTGGTAGGTTATCTGGGGTGTGGGTGGATGTCAGGGGGCAGAACTGAGCTCATACTGGCTACCTTCTGATGTTTATTCTATAATTATAAATGACCCACTAACGGTACTGATAAGAAGATAGATCTGTTGTAAAAAAAAATTCTACGTATACCAATATATCATGTGCTTATTTTTGTGAGTGTTGCGTATGTTTGTGTTTGAGGTGCAGGCAAAGAACTGGTGACTTCCAGCGTCTGAGGGAACTTGTTGGATGGGACATTGTCACCACAGGGTTTTTTTTAGTAGACATTCACATTTAACTTTTGCTTTTGATCTAACAAAACTCATGTTGGTTACTTTGATTGCATTGAGCATACCAACAATGTATTCCAATAATTCCATGACATTTTTTTTTTAGCTCTATACTTGTCTTGCAACTTTTCTTGCAACTTGTGCTAATTTTTCTTGCAACTTTTTGCAACTTTTGCTATTTTCAAATGCAACTTTCTCTGAGGACAGACAGTTGAAGGTGAAACAGGACCGGTCCCACGGTCACACTGCTGGGTTATTGAACAGACGCGCTGACCGGTGAAGGGATGACTTTTATAAGACAGAGTGATTCTTTGATTATGTGACAGCACTGAGTGATTAACCTCTGTCTTGAGAGATGCATACATGTGTCATCACATTTGTGTGGCCATCACGCTCTTGTTCTGACCGGCGTAGTTCATGTTGTACAGCTCCTGTCCTGGTTCCCTCTCAAGGTCACTCCCACTCTTGAGGTTAATCTCTTAGACTTGTCGCACGTTATACTGTTCCTCTCCTGGCTCCCTCTCCTCTCAAGGTCACTCCCACTCTTGAGGTTAATCACGTAGACTTGTCACACATTATATCGTCCCTCTCCTCCTTCCCTCTCAAGGTCACTCCCACTCGCACGTGCCGGCCGGAGCGTACATCGGAGCAGGCATGGGAGGACTTCTGCTCATCGTCATCCTCGTCCTCGCCTTCCTCTGTTACCGTCACCGCAGACGACAACAAAAGTAAGCTTCGGTTTGCTCACGCCTGAAACGCATTGTTGTTTAAATATGTTTCTGTTAGGTGAAAACAATGATTAAATAAATAATTATTAAAGAAAGTTATGATCCTCTCAATATCTTGTATCATTCTAAAATTTAAGGATAATTTCTTGGTAAAGAATCTGTGCACAGCTCCAGGAAGTGTTTTGCCAGGTTTGCTTTTTTTCTCTTTACCCCAACAAGTTTTGGAGTGTTTTTACACAGAGAAGTTCTTCTGAGCACAAGGAGGGGAAATGATGGAAGACTGAAGTGATGAACGGAAAGGAAAGGGATGGGAAAACAAACGCCAGAGAGATGTCGGATTTAATGTCAAATGTATTAGCCTATAGAAATAATAAATAGCATTTGTATAGCGCATACCCCCGCTCAACAGCAAGCTCTCGTATCCATACGACGCGGGGAACTCTGTTCCAAAGAGGAAGTTTACTTGTTAATCCGATTCGTACGCTTTGCGTAGCAGTCTGTCAAAATGATTTTTTGAGAAATTCTGAAAGTTTCAAAGAGATCTTCGTACTAGAAGTATTCTAAAAAGTGAAGAATACAACCCCGGGGGTACAAAATGACCCCAGGGCGTACGGATAGGGTTAATGATAAGATCCTGTGTCCCACACAGTGAAGGATATTGCTTCACGTTTATGTTCCAGGAAAAAGAAAAGATCTCCCAATGTGATCTACCTGCCGGCTCCTGACGCCGACAACCATCCTATCTACCAGGAGGTTTACAACGACATGGTGAGTGGGTGGGGTGTGGGTGGTGGTGAGTGAGTGGGTGTGGTGTGGGTGGTTTATGGAACTTCTTGGCCTTCGTTTCCAAGCAGAGGGTCAAGTCAACTTGATTTCCTGGGCTGACATGTCCATTTTGGCCAAAATTGTAAAAACATCATACAGGAGGCACTCATCAAATGGTGTTGCGTATTGCCTGTAAAAACCAGTTTGCCCGATAGTTTTGCCACAGTTGCTATCCCGACATGTGTATGTCCAAGGGTTGCCCGTGACACCTTACCCGAAGAATCTATTTTTCATGTCTTTAGGCCATTCCCAAAGGGGGGATATTAACATGTTCTTATGCTCAGTAGAATTGTAAATGGGCTGATTTATCAATGTCATGCTCATACTGTGCCGGAACAACATAGGGGGAACTGCTGCTTTTTCTTTCCTCATCCTTACTATCATCATTTTCCCTCTACTTCTTTTGTATGTTTGTCACACTCTTGGGACCTGCTATTTCTGGGGTGCCTTGATAGTCGAAGCAAACTTTGTGCTGTTGAAGCTAGAGAGGTGAGCAGAGTAAGCCTGATTCCCCATTTGGACTTCTCTGTTGACATCCACTCCTTGGCGCTCCTATGACCTAATGCAGTTGCGTGCGCCGTAAAAACCTTACTACAACAAAAACTAAAAGTAAAACTCTATTTTTCTCCAAACAAGGAATGTGGATGTAGTCAATTTGATCCCTCAGCCAACTGCCTGCCAGTGTGTGTGTTGGATGTAACTGTACGTGAGGTGTGCTGACAAAACCTCTCAGGTTTCAGCCTTTGGAAATACATCAACTTTATATAGGTGAAGTTTGTACAATTTGTAAGTATGGAATTATAAAAGACACGGTAGACTTGAACAAAATGACATCAATTGAAAATCTGTAAATCTGACCTGTGTCGATTTTCGGCTGATATCTCCATTCATGGATCGTGAGAAGTAAGTCATTTTGTCAGCACGCCTCCCGTATAGCTCTGTTGTGAAACTTTCTCATCCTGTAGTCCTGCTGGAGGAATGTTGGAGTGTGGAGTGCATGCTGGGAATTCTCCGTTTTGTGGAAGCTACTTTTGTCCAAGTTGTTCTGTAGTACCGGTATCACATTATTATTATTGTGACCACTGTCAGCTGTGTCCCTGGGGGGGGGGGGGGGGGGGGAGATCAAAATGTTTCCTGTGGGTGGTTGGCGGGTGCTCTGGTGTGGTTTTTTCTCCTTCTTTCCTTTCACAATCAAACATCTATCGTCTTTATCTCTCTTCCTTTTTTGTGTTTGTTACTCTCTTGTAACACCTCTAATCTTCGGCACTTATATAACCATATTGTGTTTGAAGTGCTGTAAAACTCTTACAAAAACTAGACTAAAAAAATGTTCCCTAGTCAGATTTTGAGAATTTAGACAAAATATGCCTGAATCTCTGATCTGAGCACTCCACTTGCATGTCTACTGTCCACTGCATATCTGCTGCCTTTGTCATGTGGAGTAATCGAATGTTTCTTTGAATGGGTGGGAGGTGAGGGTTGTGTTGTGCACACTGTATTCTGGATGTAAATTGTAGCTACTCTTCTACGGACTGATCTGTTGTTTTTGTCTCACATTCTCACTGTCTTTTGTGAAGTATGCTAAACTCTTCTGAAGTGTATCATTTTGAAACCAGCTGCATGGTTATTTGGAAGCACAATTCCAGAAGTGACACGGCAAACTTTGTGGTACCTAGCATGTTCAAGTTTGTTGGATGTTTTGTTGATTTTATTTGTCAGCATGTCTTCATTTATGTTTCTTACATTGTATCACTTTCCTGAAATCTTTTCACAACTGGCATCTTGATGGAAAGTATTCTCTCTCTCTCTCTCTATATATATATATGTATATGCCTTGCTGTATTTCCTGCACTGTGCATGCTTTGTGTGTAACGTTCATCTCTTTCTCTTTCCCCCCCCCCCCCTCCCTCCCTCGGCCGACACGCACATCCCCAGCCCTTCTTTCCCTATCAACAGGGCCCGACGTCGACCGCCCCCAACCCGCCGACACTTCCTCCCATGAGGTACACCCCCCACCCCACCACGTCACCACGGCAGGGAGCTCAGGAGGAAGAACCTGCCTACCTGGAGCCCGTTGAGGTCGGATCTCAGCGCAGGTACGCTCAAAGATCGTTAGTTAACCGTTCCAATTACAGTATCGCACGGATAGGCCGAATACAAAACATTCGAAATCACGCATCTGTCCAACTTCACCTGCTGTTCCATTTTTTTTTCTTCTTTATCTGTGTAAGATATCCCTGGAGTTACCGAGGCCGGTCCCGACGAATTCGAGTTATATGTATATATATATATATATATATATATATGTGCGTTATACTGTAGTATTGGGTGTAGTCTATGTTCCAGTTTGATAAGAGCCTCTTTTGGAAATGGCTTTCGACTAAACTTAATTTGGGTTAAATCTATTTGTCAAAGTCAATACCTTTCCATTCAGGCACAGAATTGAACTTGATAATGAGAAAAGCACTTATTAAGATGAATTATAATTTCATGATAATAACTGAATTTATATAGTGTATATTATATCCATACTCAACGACATTTTTTACGTGCTTTGCAACCATTATAACCCCGTGCAGTGCAAGCGGCTGACTAAGTGCTCAAACAAAGAAACTGACATGATTACTGCCGGAAGCTTTCTTGAGTCAGTAAAGTAAAATTGTAAAATAGAAATGTTTGAAAAAGCATGTCAAGAAACGAATGTGAGGCATGCTGACAAAACGAGTTACTTCTCGCAATCCACAAATGGAGATATTTGCCAAAAATCGACATTAGGGTCGAATTTTTAGATTTTCTATTGATGCTATTTTCTTCCAGTATAACACGCCTTTTGTTATTTCATACTTATAAATTGTAAAAACTTCAGCTATAAGTGTGATGTATTCTATTTCCATAGGGCTCGAATCCGAGGAGTAACTCATTTTGTCAGCACGTTTCACAAATGTATCGTGAATATTTCAGTATGTGTTTTTTTCTCTGTGGATGGTTGGCAGGTGCTCTTGTGTGGTTTGCTTCTTCTTTCCTATCAAACATCTATCTTGTTTATCTCCCCTCCTTCTTTTTTGTGTTTGTTACTCTCCTGTAACACC